GTTCGCTCCCTCTACTGCTGACCCGTCACTGTTTCTACGCACAGACACCTCACTGCCGCCCTTCTACATCCTCGTGTACGTCGACGACTTGGTCTTTGCCACTGCTGACACCGCGGCACTCGCCCACGTGAAGTCGGAGCTGCAGAGGAGACACACGTGCACAGACCTGGGTGAACTGACAAGCTATCTTGGCTTGCGGATCACCCGGGACAGAGCACGGCGCACCATCACCTTGACTCAGTTACACATGGTGCAGCAGATCCTTCAGCGCTTCCGCTTCACGTACTCCTCGCCTCAGTCCACTCCTCTGCCTACCGGTCACTCGCTCTCAGCTCTGCCTTCGGATGAGTCCGTAGAGCCGAGTGGCCCGTATCTAGAGCTTGTGGGCTGCCTCATGTACCTGATGACCTGCACTCGACCTGACCTTGCATACCCTCTTAGCATCCTTGCACGCTATGTCGCTCCTGGCCGTCACAGGAAAGAGCACATGGATGCCGCTAAGAGGGTGTTGCGCTACTTGTGCAGTACGTCGGGCATGGGGCTAGTGCTTGGAGGGCGAGACCGAGTTGTACTTACTGGACACTCAGACGCTTCTTGGGCGGACGACCAGGCTACTCAGCGGTCGTCTCAGGGTTACACCTTCAGCCTTGGCTCCGGCTCAGTTTCTTGGCGTTCTACACGCTCTTCTTCTGTTCTCAGCTCCAGTTGTGAGGCTGAGATCTACGCCACAGCCATGGCTGCCCAGGAGCTACGCTGGCTGACTTACCTGCTGACCGACTTGGGTGAGCAGCCTCGTTCTCCTCCAGTGCTGTACGTCGACAACCAGGCTGCCATTGCCTTGTGTGAGGAGCACAGACTGGAGCACAGAACGAAGCACATCGCCCTGCGGTACTTCCTTGCTCGAGAGCTGCAGCAGCGCGGTCAGCTTTGTCTGCGTTACGTGGCCACTGAGGCCAACCTTGCTGATGTGTTCACCAAGGCGCTTCCGCCTTGTGACCATCAGCGCTTCTGCACTCTGCTAGGCCTTGTGCCTACTGGACCTCACTTACTTACCTCTTGACCTTGCTTGTACTGTGATCACTATATATATATCTACCTGCATGTTTACTGTTGCTAGGTTGTGATCACTGTATCTCATGCTCTGTTATAAACTTGCATGTGAACTGGTCTTGTGACCACTAGCTTGTGCTCGGAATTTGTGTGGTATCCTTGAGATCCACCCTGAGCTTGTTGTTGCCTTGCTTTGCCTTGACTGGTCTTGTGACCCCTAGGTCTCCCCCACTTTGCCTATGGGGGTGTGTTAAACATTATATATGTTGTGTTTGTGTAGGCTGTAGTGGGTTAGCCTATAGGGGGGGTCACAACATTAGGGTTTCATATTTGTACTCACCATCCTTTCTAGTTCCTCATTCCTGCCTGTTCATTCTGACTGAAGATGGGACACTTTATTCCGACACGTACAACCGCATGCATGCTGGGAACGCATGTCACTCATAGGGACACGTGATGACAGCGATGATACTCACGCGCCAGAACCATCACGGCACCAAGCTGAGCCAAGCACTTCCTCGCCTAACTACGAGAGCAACGATGACAACGTGGTGGAGGTCCCAGACACCACAGACACCGCCAATGTGTCCGGCCTACAGACCTCGGCCTACACACCTTAGTTACTACCTCACGTGCGCTGTCGAGCCCAAGAACTCACGCTAGGCCCTCACATGTCCTCATGCTAAGGAATTTTGTGCTGCTATGGACGTGGAGCTGAAGGCGCTGGAATCACGCGACACTTGGGTTCTGGTCGATCGTGCAGCAGTGAAGGGGAGGAGGGTGCTTAGCAAAAAGTTGTTTTTTTGCCCGAAGACCAACGCTGACAGTACTATCGAACGATTAAAGGCACGATGGGTTGTATGCGGATACGACCAGCGCTACAGCATTGACTTCGATCAAACCTTCGCTTAAGTTAGCAGTCACACCTCCGTCAGATTTCTAATCACCAATGCTGCTGCTAAATATCTACCACTTCGGCAGATCGACGTCAAGAACGCGTTTTTATATGCGCTGGTGGACACCACCATCTTCGTGGAGCAGCCACATACCTACGCGGACGGAGACTCTAGGGTCTGTCAGTTGAAGAAATCCCTCTACAAGATAAAACAGGCACCGCATCTTGGGCAGCAGCATCTGCACAAAATACTTGAAATCGGCTTCAGCCAGCTGCCACATGATCCGGGAATGTACAGCCTCTATTTGAACGTCGATTACATCCTTCTGATCGTCTGTGTCGACGATCTGCTGTACGTCGGCACCTGCAACAAACTCCTTAATCAATTCGAGGAGAACCTGGCGCGGTGCGTTAACATCACTATCAACCACAACGTCACACAATTTCTGGGGCTGAATATCACCTACGGGCTAGAAGCAATTCACCTGTCAGCCTCCAAGTACGCAGAGCAGCTGGGGGAACGCTTAAACATTTCACCAGCACGTCTCTCAACTCCTTACCGCAACCCCAGCGCCAACTACAAACCGGACAACAAACCTCTATCGCCCGCATGACTCCAACTGTACCAACAGCAACTGGGGTGCCTGCTGTTCGCCTCTGTCACATTCCGACCCGACCTTTTGTACATTGCCAGCCAACTGGCACAGTACTCTCGCAAGCCAGTAGCTGAGAACCAGCTGGACCTGGAGCGCGCCCTGCAGTACTTCATTTCCACACCTGACATCGGGCTCTCCTACTCCACGCTGGCAACAACCTCCTTCAACCTCAACGGCTACGTGGACGCAGATCATGCCGCTGACCCTGCGAATCGACGGTCATGGACCGGCTTCATCTTCCGCTTGGAGCCAACTAGACCATGTCAGAACACTAGTTAGAACTTAGTAGCCATAGCTAGGGTTTAGGGTGCTTGCATGAGTGTCGAGATGGTTGAGCAAGGAGAAAGGTGTTCACTAATGAGCAAAGGTACAAGATATAGTGCAAGGGACAAGGGAATGAGGTGCACCACCAATGAAACACTACAACAACTACTGCTACAAGCAGTTTATATAAGAAATATATTTCAACAGACCAATCTCTCGGAACTCACCAAAGCAGGAGCTGGTTGCCCTGTCATCGGCCGAAGCTGAATACATCGCCGCGACAGCAGCAGTTCGCGAAGGTCTGTACCTGCAGGAACTGCTGCAGGAAGCGAAAATTCCAACTTCGCCTACCTTTCGCCTTCACTACGACAACGAGAGCGCCATCAAGACTGCGAACAGGTAAAGTGCACGAAGCATATCACGCTTCGATGCTTTTTCGTCAAGGACGATATTGACAAAGGCAAAATTGACCTCGCATACTGCCCCACCACTGAGATGGCAGCCAACTTCCTCGCCAAACGATTGCCACCTCAGCAATACAAACACCGCGCCGACCTCACCGGAGTAGTCAAGGGAGTCAGCCCTCTGTGCGTCGAGTAACAAAGGGGATTGTTACAATATGAAAATCTATGAGAAGGCATTCCTGTATGCTGCTGGAGCCGACTCTCCCAAATACAAAGTCGAGGCGTCAGAATAGTCAAAGCGACACCAGAAATCGTCAGATCAAGACCGATGTAGACAGTTGACATTTGAAATGAAATGAGCGGGAACCGTTTTGAAACTGGTTCCCGTACCGCACGGTTTTGAACTTCGTTCCAATAAGGGAATGTACCCCTTAGAGTACATGGCTAGTCTAGGTCGTTTCGCATTCCTTTGTATTTCCTATATAAACTCAAAGTATGCATGCTAATATTATCTCACTCATTTTACATTCACTCTGACATGTGTCAACACATCCGTTGCAAAAACTACATGTGATCAACCCTAAGCGATCCTTCGCTAAATCCCACTTGGGTTTGTAACACGCTTCAGCAGTTAGATTTGTCTGACCACTAGATCCTTCCGCCATCCTTACGCGCGAACGTGTGCCGGACGCCACCGTAGTTCGCCGAAGATTACGAAAGGTGGATATGCGAAAGATTCCTAAGTCGTCATATTACCATGTTGCGATCACAGAGTTGATCCTGCTTAAAATCACCTCATGAATGTTTGTAGGCAGGGCTCTCGCTAGGTTTTGGCCTTGTCTGAGGGTATGACACTAAAACTTTTTTTTTTTTTTCTGAGGCTAGGATGACCAACTTTCAGAAGTCTTAGAGTAAAGACGAAAACTATGCCGGTCTGAACCTATGTAGGATTGCTAATTTGCCTAACTGTGCTTACACCTATCAAAATGTTCAGAAGTTAGCACCTAGATAACTAGCAACCTAGTCAGAGTCACTTTCCGCGCTGTCGTCATCATCAATGTCATCCTCGCATTCCGCAAAAGGGTCTGGAGCTTTTCCCTTATCTTTCCGACTGAGCCAGGGGTATTCTGCATCAAGCCTTGCGGATTCCGCTGCAAGGGCTGCTTCTCGGGCTGCAGCTCCTGCTGTTGCCAATGCTGCGGCTGTTGCTGCTGTTGAGGCAGATCTCTTCTTTGCGTGCTTGCTTTGTCTCTCCCCGGAAGCCATCAGCACATCTTTCGCAGGCCTTCGTTTCTTTGCAGCGTTGAACCTTCTCAGCATCTCGGGCCACTCCATGTCATAGCTGAGAAGCGAGACGGTCATCAACTCCCCTAGCTTCGCGTCACACAGGTTCCCGCGAAGCTAGCTCTTGATCACATTCTGCCGTGAGAAGCCGCGCTCGCACTCAACCATGCTGAGCGGAAGAACGGCGACGGCGATCCACAAGTGCACGAGATTCGGGTAGCAGGTTGTCCAGTCGGGAGACGACAGCATCAGCTTCAGGCTGTCGGCGAAGCCCACCTCCTCCTGGTGTGTGGCCATGATTGTAGAGAACGTCACGAGCTCCCTCTGCGCTCGCACCCAGTTGATGCCTGCGGGATGTGGATAAAACGGTAAGTAGGTGCAACAGAAATGAAACACGTACTTAGAACATGCTATGCACGGCTTCGGTTAAGCAAGCATCGTACAGGCTCAAGTATTGCACGCACCTGGTAGAGTGTCGGGATCGTCAGGCTTCTCCTTAAACATGTTTCGCAGAGACTGCAGCCACTTTGCAAGTTTCCGCTCGCGCTTGGCTTGGTTCTTGGGATACGACCCCTGCTTGAACAGCTTCGCCCCGTCGAGGTTGGCGAGGTCCTTGAGCCGGTGTTCAAGTCTGCCGATCAAGGTTGTCACGAACGCGCGCGCCAACTCCAAACACGCACCGTGGTCTGCACCGCTCTTCTGCCCCTTGATGGGATCCTCGTGGAGAGTGTAGGTAAGGTCGGTCGAACTTCCGTCGGACGATGTGCCCGCCAGCTTCACCTCACGACAATCCCGCGAAGCGTGCTTCTTGATGAAGGGGCCCAAAGCATCTTCGCCTTCGCCGAAAGACTCGTCGCCGCCGTCGAGGTAACGAGTGCGCAGCAGCAGAGTCGTGTTGTGAACCATCGGGAGCACATGGGTCGCGTCCACCTAAAACGAGGCACAAGTCACGGTTAGTACTTAAGGTAGGTTGGGGGAAATTGATGCTTGAATTGCATAACACTCGCTCACCTGGCGACGCTGGAACTTCAAGCTCAGAAGGTTGAGCTCCTTCAGCACGTCCGCTAGGAAGAACAGCATGAACTGAAACTTGTAACTGGTGATGACCTTGTACATCTTCTTGTCGAACTCGTGCAGGACAAACACGGCTGCCGGAAACACTTTCACCAAGCGTAAAAGGGCTTGACCGCGAGACAACCACCGGACGTCCTTGATTCCCTGAACTTCGAGGTTGGTCTCGCAGATGACCTCCTGCAGCTCGATGAAGCGAGAGTGGACCACCGAAGAACGACCCAGGTTCTCAGCAACGGAGCGATCCACCTTGTCCACAATGTTAAAATCCTGGTGTTTGATTGCTGCATCTTTGGCCACCAAGGCCTCCCTGCAAGGGAACAGAGGGAAGAGCAATCAAATCAAAACAAAATACACGCTTAAGAAACACAACACGACAACACTTGCCTGTGCGCGATGCAGTGTGACGACACGATATGGGGAACTTATCTTTGAGGCGCGCGGTCACACCGTTGTGCTGGCCGATCATGACACTAGCACCATCAGTGCTCATGCCGGAGATTCGCTGGAGGTCGATCCCGCTACACTCCAAGTGGGTAACGAGAACAGTTGTGAGCGAAGCGGCATCACACTGATCCACAGTCAGCAATGCGTAGAACTCGACGTCATGTAGACGATCATGTGTTTCCCCTTTCTTCGGTCCGTGCTCTCGTCCAGCTGGATGCCGAGGTAAGGGCTGTCGCGGATGAGTTTCAACTGCCGGGACTTCAGGTAGCACATCATGGTCTCGACCAGTTGTGCGAAGCCGTACCTGAAACAACACAGAGAAGGTCGTCATTAGCAACTAAACGGAAAATCGCCACACAAAAGAAAAAACAGGGACACTTACTCGCTGTAGTACGTCCCGTTCTCCTTTAGGGGCAAATCGGGAGTCCCCTGCTCAGCCATGAACTGAACGAGTGAGACGAAGAGCACAATGGGAGCGTCAGATTTGCAAATGAAGAGAACAATCGACATCGAACGAGCAAGGCGCTTGACCTCCTCATCCCCTTGGTGGAAGTCCATAATGGACTTCTTTCCTTTCTTCGCTCCGTTACGTTGCTCCTTCCGCAGGACCGCTGCCTCATGCTCCAGGCTGTGGTGATGCTTGCGCATCGTCTGCTTCTGAATGTCGGTGCCACCGTCACCGTAGCGTCCGTACTTGGAGTGGGGGTCGGCGAAGACCATGCAGATGCTGCAGCGCATGCAGGGTCGGCCATCCTTGGACTCGGAGATGAACAGCCAGGGAAAGTATCGCAGCCACTGCTCCTTGGACTTCAGCTGAAGCTCCTCAACCGAGAGCTTCTTGCCTTTGGGGTCCTCATCGTCTTTAGCCGCAGGTTCGGGAGCAACGGGTACCGTCTCCACAGACGGTTCGGGCTGTGTCGGACCGCCCGAACGCGCGAAGTTCAGAACACGCTGCTTGTACCGCCCCTTTGATGACCTGTCGGGCAAGACGGGGTTAGCCTTGAGAGAGGATTTCGTAGCGTCAGATAACACACGGACGTTGTTATCGGCACCGCAGGACGGCATGCAAGAGGATACTAGCGTAGTAGGAGTAGCGGTCAATGGTTCATAGTTGTCGTCCTTATCCGACAATGCCGCATCGTCAATGGGCGAAGGTACCGCGGCAGATGTTGAAGAAATGGGTGGGGCAACAGGGGTGATCGGCTTGCCCCGCGTTAAAAAGTCTAATGCCGAAACCCCTGCCGCAGAAGCGGTGGGGTCGGCCATAGCCTAAACTAGATGAAAGAAAGCTGTGACGAGGGAATCAGACCATGCTCGGCTGGGTGAAAGGTGTGGTGGACGAGCTCTACAAACAGCCTGTTTAACAAGCCTCGCTCAGCTGCATGAGACCCACCAGTCAACGTGCAGTGCACATCAAAAGGCGATGCGGGATAGGAGTGGTGGGCAGAACAACCACCGTCCTTTTTTACGTTCCGTGTACGAAAGGGAAGTGCGCTGGCACAATGTGACAGCGCGTTGCCGTGGCTGTGGCTGGCTTCAGCGCCGACAGCCAGCTACACGACAGTCTCCTGGCAGCATATGCCGCAGGTTCGTGACAGCGAGGCTGCTACCAGACACGCACATTGAATGCGCGTGCAGATACAGAGCAGCACCCTTACTTGTACCTGTGGCCCATTGGTCTACTGGGCATATGGCCTAGTGGTCGTATGGCCTAGTGGGCAAATTTGTTGGTTTCAGACGAAACCGAATTCGCTATATGTAAAGCCGGACGAAGTGTTCTACATGGTCTAAAAAAACATACGAGCGTAAACCTTTTGTCTTGTCCCTCAGATGAGTCAAAACAGAAATTCTTAGAATACAGATAAATACACAAAATCACGTCTGGAAATCAGAAATTCAGACCAAATTGGTCTGATAATGAGGGCCCTGTTCGCAGGGAGTGTGTTGTAGCAAAGAAATTGACCTAAGGACAGAGAGAATTTTAAATGACTAAGAAAATAGAAACATCCAAACGCATTCGTTAATGGAAGAGTATACATGAGTAAGAAACGACCTAGACTAGCCAGATACTGTAAGGTGTACATTCTCTTATTGCTGCGAAATCCAACCGTGCAATTCGATACTTACGAAACCGGTTTCTACCAAAATCCTCGCTCCCGCAACTAGCCGATGGTTCTGCTCCGACGATCCAGATGCTACGAATTGTATGCAACTCTTCGCCTCACTTCAACTCTTCATACTCTTTATTGCTGTTACGAATCGTAATATTTGATATTACTGTGCACTCCTCACCGCAGCAAAGAGAAGCACGCAATACCGGGAACGAACACAAAACGTCAGACGGTTGGAATTGAACCGAAGAGTCAGACGGTTACAGCACATCTGGACCGTCGGAGCAGATGGCATCGGGCAGCTTCAGGCAGGATGGTTTTGGCGGGAACAGTTACGAAACTGTACGCGCCGCACGGTTGGGAATGAATTTGAATAAGGGAATGTACCCCTTAGAGTACATGGCTAGTTAGGTCGTTTCGTATTCCCCTGTACTCATATTTATATTTCTTGTATTTGCATGTTTTATTCATCTCAAGCATTTTACATTCACTCTGCTATTGAGGTCAAGGGCCCACCAAACTATCTCACTGCGTGCGAACCTTCCTGAGTAGATCCTAGGCCACGATCAACTTCTGATCGCAGCATGGTATGAGAGCGGCTCGGGAATCCTTCGCACTGCCACTCCCGAAAATTGCGACATTCGGAAAGTGGCGTCCGGCACACGCTCACGAGTGAAGATGGCCGGAGGATCTGGTGGTCAGACTAATCTGACGGCTGAAGCGCGCACCAACCCGGCTGCGACAAGCGAGAACACGACGACAATCAACTCCGAAGTTCTCGCACAACTTCTTCAGCGACTCACCAGCTTGGAGCAAGGACTCCAAACATTGCGGAACGGCGACGCGGGAACATCCTCGCAACCCTCTCAACCGGCCCCGACTGGCCAGAACGCCACTAAGCAAACATTCTCCCTCGACACCAATGGCTCAACCCCCAAGACTCCCCGTCCCAGTGAAGAGGCAATTCTCTCCGCTCAATCAAGGTTTCTCAGCATATCAAAAATAAAGACAAGTACCTGTTTTGACGGCAGAGACTTTTACACCTGGAGCTTCGAGTTGGAGCTCCTGCTGCAGAACGCCCGAATATTCCATTACTTTGACGAAAGCTACGCGGAGCCCGCTGAGGACACCGACGACGCCAAAGCGAGGTATTACGACGAATCGTTGATGGCGTACGGGGTGCTCCTGCGGAACATGTCGCCGGCGGAGCAGCTCAACATTCGTTCTTACAAAACTTCGGCTGCTCCAGCCCTCAACGCCTGGCGGCACCTGACAGGAGTCTATCAGCCCAAGGACTCTGTCTCTTCGAGCCGACTACTCCAGGAACTCCTGGAAACCAAGATGATCGCGGGGGAGAAGGTCAACAACTATCTCAATCGCTGTCGGAGCCTTCGCGATCAAATCGTGAAGCTGGGAAGCACGATTTCAGAGGAGATCTTCGTCAACATCGTGCTTCAAGGGCTTGGCCCAGAGTGGCGGCCCTGCAAGGCGTCACTCCGACAGCAGGGGGTCATCTCCAAGGCCGCCCTTTGCACCGCTCTTCTCGTCGAACAGAGGGATATGGATCAACAGCAACTAGTGCCGCGACGAGAACGCGAAAGGCTCGCCTTCTACGCCGACAACACCGAAGAGCGAAAGCCACGGCGCCTCTACTGCAAAATCTGCAGAAATTTCGGGCACCTGGCGGATCGATGCAAGAACCGATCTCGCCCTCGCCAGACCAATCCGAGCACCTGGTCCGGCCGTCAAGACGCACGAGGCGACGTGCGTCCAGCCCAAGGGTATCAGCCCCCTCCCGCGCGCAACCTGAACCCAGCGGTTCAGCATCAGCAGCAGCAGCCGTCATCGACTGCCCTAGTTCGGAATGTCATGAGCAACATGGCCATGACAGGCAAATCGCGTCGTCGCCGCGTACGCTCACCTTCACCTGAGCCTGCCCCGCATCCTATCGGCGCGTTCAACAACAACAACCCATTCAGCCCGCGCCGCGACTTCACCGACGACGACGACCAAGACTGGAACCTTCCAGTCCCGCTGCTTGAAAGTCCCCCGCACGTACCTGACATGCGGGTGGCGCCACTTGATTGGCTCTCGCGCGAGCAATTCTTGTAGTTCGACATGCCGCACATCGTCACGCCGCGATTGGCGCTGCTCGCACGTGACGACAACAAGCGCTACAACACCTGGTACCTGGACAGCTGTTGCGGCCAGCATATGGTGGGGTCCGAGCGCTACATATCCAACGCCGTCCCCACTCCTACCGTCACCTACGTCACCGTGGCGAACAACACACGCCTGCGCGCAAGCGCGCAAGGCATCGTCGTGCTCAAAGCACGCGGAAGCCGCACGCACATCACGCTCAACGATGTGCTAATCGTCCAGAACCTGCGCTTCAACCTCTTGTCCGCCGCACAGCTCATGGACTGCGGCGTCGACCTCAGCACGGACCGCGCGACGCGAGATATCCTGCTGCACTATGAGGCGCGCAACTTCCCCCGCCGGCAGATCGGACGAGCACACTCCGAAAACGGAGTATACGTCCTGGACTTCGATATTCCCGACTGCAGCGGCGACTCGCACGAGCTAATTGACCTCGTGCCACTCCGCTTCGAGCACATCCACCGCAGGGATTGGAAGCACCCTGACGGAAGACCGTGGGTGCCGCATCATCCCCACCCACGCGAAACGGCGCTGCACAACCCCGATCCAGATGGCATCTGCAGGGACTGCCACACGCCGACGACATCAACGAGCGCGATCGCGGGCGGCGGACTCGCCGCCATTGCGGAAGCAGAGCAACACGCGCCACCAGAAGAAGGGATGTCGCAGCTCGAGCTTGAAGTAACCACCCACGCCGTCTTCGGCACGGCAGAACATCCTCTCGTCGGCCCCCCCTCACGGCACCTTCAAGGAATGTTGCGCGGAACTGGGATCGGCACCTTCGACGCCCATGGCGAGCCGCGACCCTACACCCACGAGAAGTTTCTGGAAATTTACTCCCATCGCCGCGACTCGTCGAAGGAACTCACCGTGGAACAAGAGGAGGAACTGGCGCGCCGCGAAGCCGAGGAGCTTCGCCAGCAAAGCCTCGCGGAAGCCCGCGGGACCTTCGCTTGCGTGAGCCGAGGAGGAAGCAAGCGCCTCCAATGAAGGGGGGTGGGGGAGCGCTGGAGGATGGGGAACAAGCGACACCGGCGGATGGGGAGACAACGGCGGAACCTGGGCCAACGCGAGCGGCGGATGGGGCGCCGCATCTGGCGCCGACAATAGCGGCTGGGGCACTTCCCGCGAGGAACGAAGGGGGGGAGAGGAAAAAGCCGAGGAAGCCGAAACAGCACCTGCAGTCGTTCCTCTCGGTCGTCCCCCGCGCCACATCCCGCTCGCACCACCTCCTGCAGACATCCCCCGCGTCGCGATCCCTGGGATACTATTATCTGGGGCAACGAACCGTCAACCCCACGCCGTGTCAAAATGTGATGGTTGTCTAGCCTGCAGTGGGGTACTCTATAGCGAGTACAGCCCTTATAGGGTTTGCATATATGTATCCCTATGCTTGTTAGTCAAAACCCTTCTTGCCTGTTTCTCGTTTTGGCCTAGCATTCTGACACGCCGCACCGTCTACGGACCTGCCCCTGAGCCACGCCAACCTACCCTTGACGTCCCTGGAACTATCCCTGGGACCAACATCCCGCTCTCTGAAATTCGCGACAGAGAGTTCTTGGCGCTGATGCTGACTACCGCGGCAGAAGAAGAAGAAGCAGAAGAAGTAGCAGCGGAACCTGCTCCCGCACCTGACGAAGACCCTGAGGAGGTGCGCGCGCGCTACATGCGCACTTCCGGCTTTCGCGCTGACGATGCACTCTGGCATCAGCGCCTCGGACACCCTTCCCGCGCGACGCTGAAAAACTGCATCGACGCTGGCGTCTTCGCTCCTGGCGCACTCCTGCGCCCTGATGGCTCCGAAGTGAGTGGCGCGACACATCCGCGCAACTGCACCGTCTGCCCCGAAGCTGCACTGAGCCACCAACCGTTCCCGCTGCTCGAACCTGGAACCAACCGCTACCCCAAGCTGCACAAGGTGTACAGCGATTTCCTGAACGTGGGGCATTGCGGAGTCGAGGACGAGCTATACACTCTTACCTTCATCGACGCTGGATCGCGTTACGTATGGGTCGTAAACGTGGAAACCCGCGACAGAGCC